TAACTATAAGGTATTTTATTAAATGGATTTAAAATAATGCATTTAACAATTTATCTGTTATTTTCAGATAGTTTCTCATTTTTATATTGTAAATAATGCCAAAATAAACAAGTATATATGTTCTTAGACTAAGATTTGCTAGAGTTAAAGTATATGTAAAATATTCTCCATTTGGAACCTTCAGACATGACATTTTGGCCAAGCCAGGGATAGAATAGCCTCCTATATCCACACTTGAACCCATGGAAATATATTCCTCACTACAGACTTGTAGTGAACCCCACTTTCCATGCCAGGGGAAAAGAAGAAGATTAATGGAATTTAAAATTCTTACATATTCTTCAGTATATTTAAGTTGTGGATACACTGTTATTAGACAGAATCCTTTTCTGTGTGTTAAAAGCAGCAGGTAGGTAATGATACTGTTTCTCTTGTAGAAAGGTTATTTTATGTATTTTTCTTTCTATGTTAACTGTGACACTGTAAAACACAGAAGATATAACTAAAAGATCTGAACAGAAATTTTAATGAAAAACCTCTAGGTGAATTCACCAACTACTAGAAAGGAAAAAATAAAACAAATATTATTCCTAATTTTACACAAAGAGCACCCATCAGAACCTCATTATCCATCTTTTTTTTTTTTTTTCATCTTCCCCTTGTGGGTGAGAAGAGGTAGCAGAAGGTGAGAGAAGGGAAGGGAAGGGAAGGGAATTGGATATTATTTTTATACTTCTATACTGTATGAAAATCACCATAGAGTATTTAGAGTTTCCTATTGCTAAATAGATTTCTGAGTGTTCTGTCATGTTGATTTAGGTTTACCCAAAATTACAAAACCTGCTGCATATTCTCTTTGCTTGAACTATTAATTGTCCATACTCGTTCAGAGGAGGTGATACCAGCTGGGACTCTCTGAACCACGTAGAACTTGCCAGTGTCTGGATGAGGGTAACTCCATTCATCAGACCCATCACTAGGATAAAGCAGCAGCCCTTTATGAGGTGGACAAAGTCCCAGAGAAGCTATTCAATGGGCAGCCAATTCACCAGAGAATATTCGCAGGGTCCTCTAGCTTAGTTATGTATATTCTCTAAGGAAACCAGAATTGGAGTTGAGGAGTTTATCAAATGAAGTCATATAAGAAATCTAGGTCATTGATTGGCATGTGGGAAAAAGACACTTATCTTGTAACACTAAAGCATCCAGTTACAGGGAGCACAAAGCATATCCCTTTGCCATCTCAAGCAATGCTACAGCCATAGATTACCATCAACACCGCAGGAAAGAAATAGGAAGAAGAGAAATAACCTTCCCAAGATTTCTCTGATAATCCTCCTGGGAAAAATATTCCCAAAATCCAGGGGCTTCATTTTTGGTTTTGCTTTTCTTTGGCACGGAGACTGTGCTGGAGGTGAAATTATGTAAATTTAGATAACTGAGTAATGGCAAACTAAAAGGAAGTGATCACTATAAAGGATGGGAGAGGTGGAAGAGCAAAAATCAATGCAGATTGAAGTTTAATATTATTCTTGTCAGGATAAATTGCAAAATTTGGAAAGGCCAACACACCCACCACACTTATTTTTAAATATGAGGAAACTAAGACCTCCAGGCTTTAAGAAATGTACCTTACTGCATGCAAGCAACCTCTGGAAGTTCTCAGCTATTTTCAGAAGCTCCCTGATGCCTGGGGCATTTCCCCTGTTGTTGACACCTACTGCCCATCTCTGCTATGGCCCTTCCTCGCTTCTTTCAAATACCTTCTGGGACCTGGCACTGGTCTCAGCGTTCTTAAAGTTCTCCCACTTCCTGTACTTCCCAGGCTTCTCTGTGTAGGGGTGATGAAGACAATAGCATTGCACAGATTTGATTCACTATCTCAGGTGAGTAGACTAGCTCACTTAACCCATGGCAAAAGTCTAGCTTTCTTCAACATTCTACTTTTTAAGAATATAATTTCAAGTATGACTTCAAAAGAACAACAATGGCTTCCATGTATTGTATTAAAGGTATCATAATAAAATGAATACATATATATATAATTTCATTTTACATAGAGCTGCATCTTCTGTTTTTCCTTATTATCATCCTTGCAAACTTCATTTATTCCTTCATCTCTCCGCACAGGCTCCACCAGAACAGAGTCTTCCCAAAGGTTAGAATCATTGCTTACCTATCTTGTTTTTCACTTCACCTCAGTAAACATAGCCCTTGACGTGCTGCAAGCCTGCAGCCACATTTTTGGAACAAAAGTTTGATACTTTCACCTTTACATGTGAATACATTTTTAAAAAGAACTTCAGATTTAGTATAAAAATACTATAAAAAGTTTTGATATAAAGGGATGTTAGAAATAACCAAATACAACCAGTTCCTTTTCTAGATGAGGAGACTGAGGTCAAGAATAAGTGGGTAGCTAGCATGACCCAGGCTGATGGAAGACGGCCACCCAGGTCCCTTGTCTGTCACTACCTTAATTTTCAGTTCACTCCGTGTAATCATCCCCTAAATGCAAATGAAATCACTTAAATCTAAGTGATTTTTAGGAAAGAAGAAAATTGTAAATGCACAGTGAGTTGGACTACCTAGAATACCTGTTAGCTTCTTTTTTTTTTTTTTAACCTGTTAGCTTCTACACTTAGACGTTCCCAAGTCTATTCTGATTCTTAAATTTGAGAGGTGTCTTTAATATATAATGTTTTGAACTGAGAAATCAACAGGAGCTCTTTCAGTCATGCTCAGGATTAGCTTACCACTTAATAAATTCCTTCCAACACTATGTTCTATGAGTCAACAAGCTGTTTCCCCTGTGATTTGAACCTAGCTAACAACAAATTAGACTTTGGAAGAATAATTACTAGGCAGAGGCATTTTCCAGGTGATACATTCCCACTCTGAGGAAACTTGCTCATTTTACTTTTGCGTGTAGGAGATCCTTTTTGCTGAAAATAACTGAAGTAGGTGTTTGGAATGCTCACCTCTGTATCACTGATAGTTGATTTCTAGATTATATTTTTGTCTGGAATAATATCAAAAACACTCTTCAAATAGTGTTAAAATGCTATGTTTGAAAATTGTTTAGCTAATTTACAATATATGCTGGGTAGTAAATTTTCAGCAAACATTTTAACTAGATTTTTCTTGAGCACCAACAATGGTTACTTTGTGCTCCACACCACGGAAGGCATTAAAAGGTGCCCTGGTGTAATTGTTTTCTTAAGCTCATGTCTGTTCCTAACACATCTTGGATTTTTCCACCCTTATCCTAAGTAACTTGATTCAAACAGTTCTCCAAGCTGATTTGCTGAAATATAATCACCGTTGATTGTGTCACATGCTGTTCAACTAAGTGAGTACCCTCTGAAATCAGACAGCTCAGTGTTAGGTAAAAGTTCTTATAAAGAGAATACAGGTTTTGGAGTTGCAACTAGTTAACTTTGGATTTCTGCTGGAGACAAAAAGTGACTTCACTTTATTAGAGAAAATGTCAATCAAGACCTAACTACTGACACCCGTCTTTGTTTCACCAGCCAGTAATAAAAGATAAAGCAGAGGAAATGGAGGAGCTGCAGTTATGCATTTGCAACACACAAAGTCCTTGTTTTCTCCCTAGGCACTGCAGAAAAGCGATTGTCCATTCACAGCACATCTTCTCCATTTCAGAACTAATATTTTTGCAGTTCTTAACTTCGTATCTTACGGTCTTAAACTGTTAACTTTGTTAACCCTTTGAAACGCATGATGTGCTTGATAATTTGCTTAATGGTACTGATAACACAACCCCATTTTATAGATTTCTGGTGTCCAGTGTTGAGAATAGGAACTTTAAGAAAACCAAGTAAGAAATTTGTGAGCAACATAATGCTTTCAAATAGTCTTATTTAAAGTTGCATAACTTTGGGAAAGGTAATAATAAGGGACTCCATGTTAACTATACATTTCTTGAATTTCTGTCACAAAAACTGACTCTGGACGGGGATGATTTTTCACAGGGAATCCCTTCAACACACCATTATGCACCACTGCAAACATCAGCTGTGTGTTCGCGGTCTTCCTGCAGCATTTAGTATGTTTACTGTCTCTGAATGCATATGCCTGCTTTTTGCAGCAAAGAGCTTTACTCTATCATTGCAATAGTCACTCTGGCCAGAGCACAGGAACAGAATTTTTAGATGATTAATTAGTCCCCAGGCTCAATCACTTATATCCCTAATTAAATATCTGACTCTGCTTTCAACTGTTGTCGGAAAAGATAACTAGCACATTTTGCAGCAGTAATAAAGTTTTATTTTCCTTTAGAAATAAGACCTAAATCACTGGTCATGTAAGTCCATACCTACATCTCTCCTGTTGATTTCTCAGTTCAAAACATTTAAAAATAAAATGCCACAAGGCAACACAGTGAATTTTTTTCTCATGAATATATATTCTGGACAGCTTTGATCAATATTTCTACCTTCAATCCCACTACCAGCTGCTTCCTCTCTTTCCACATCTGAAGTCTGCTATCAACCAACACGAGAAACTCGGAGGAAAAAAACCCTGATTTTCTTCTTCCTTATTCCACAACCATCACCAAACACTTTACTAACATTTTCCTACCCTGCCCCATCAGAAATGAAAATTGACCAACTCTAAGTTTTACATTGAAGAAGAAATATTGCATTCATTTAAAAAGAAATAAAAAGCCCTCCTCAGGGGGTGCTCCAAGCACAGTGAAAATGCCAGTCTCCTTACACGGACGGGAATAAAGCCCCAGTGCCCACAAACAGTTAATTCAGGGTAAGTGATAATGTTTAGTCAGTTTGCCTAGAAAAAGGAAGGAAATTCAAAAGCTGGTTGCTGTAGGAACAATTACAGACAAATTATATATATATATATATATATATATATATATATATGAGCATATGTATAGGTTCATTTAAAATAAAATTCCTACCATCTCTCTGTGGCTTTCAAGAAAAATGAGCTTGCCGCTTAAATTTTTTTGTACATACCTCAACCATTAAACAAGACATTTAACCATAGTGGCAGTTCTGTGACCTTTGAATGCCGTGAAATCTCTGAGCGGTGCTGCTTGTTCATGAAGACTTGTGCTGCAGAATCCAGCAACTTCATCCAGGATTAAAAATACAATTAATTAAACAAAAAAGAAAAAAAAAAGAAAAGAAAAAGAAAGAAAGAAACACGAAAGCACAGAGAGATCAAAAAAGGAGGAAGGTAAAAAGAGAGATTCTCTCTGGGTGAGGACACCACTTTTCCCCCAGACAAGAGCTGGGACAGAGCCGAGCCTGCTGCAGTGCCCAGACGACCGACTCTGAGTGAGCAGGCAGCCGGCCTGTGAGGCTGGGAGGTGCTGTCAGTTGCCACAGGCAAGGAAAAGCAGAGACCAATCGGCTTCAACGCTGCCAGCTTACTGGAGTGGAGCCTTTTCTGTTTATGTTTCCTCCTTTCAAGAGTGACGTCAAAGGGTTTAGTTTCCCTCTGCATGTGCTATTAATTTTAAAGTACTGTACTATGGGAAGATTGTGTGTGTGTGCCTATGATTAGCCAGGATGCCCCCCTCTCAGACAAGCCCAAGAAACATTTCCTATATTCAGGAATACAACTAAAAATTTTAAAGTACCTTGTGGTTAGGTGCATCAGAATTTTAAAAATTAAGCCAAGAACTCTGAGTTAAAGAATAGCAGCAAGATTTATATTTTTTCCATGTGTATGTACATATGCCCACTTGACAACTGTTGCATATTTTTAAACTTATTTATTTTTACCCTTACCTAAAAATGAGTTGTTAATTAATCTTGATAGTCATGGATGCAGAATTGTGCAAATTAGCTGATGAGCCATATTATGTGCAGGCAGAAGTAGAACTCAGGTATCAGTTGTTGCTAAGCGGTTCCCTTCTTTCTCCTACCTGCAGTTTGTGTGTGTGTGTGTGTGTGTGTGTGTGTGTGTGTGTGTGTATTACTTACACTAGGAGGATCCCTCCTGCAATACCACAGGAGTCCTTCAAAAAGCAGGACCTGATGAGGCTCCCAGGCATGCCTGGGATATTGGCATGTCCTCTCCTAAAGTGGGTGAAAGTACAGTTATTTATGGATATTTCCTCCACCAGGGCCCCAGCTTATTCCTGTGTTTTCTTTCCCACTCTGGAAAATCTTTGTGGTGGCCATCTGTTGTTTCTGCCTCCCCCAGATCCTCCTCCCCTCTCTGCCATCCCCACCATGAATCCTACTAGCACAAGCTTTTACCCCCTTTGGGGGCATAGCATTCCCCACAGGCCCCACCCCAGTGATCATAAGGGGGCGTGCGACCCAGGCTGGCCAATCAGATGTCTCCATGCAGAAAAAAAAAGTTTTAGGGTTAAGCACAGCACTCCATGAAATCAGGAGTTCTTTTTCAGATAGTCTCATTGATTCTTTGAGAGAGAAGATCTAAGATCCTAAATGCTAAGGTTAAATGATCCTGTGGTTTTGGGGGTGTTCAACTCTGGTGTTGATTCATCTCTTGTGATGATAGTATTTTCCCCCAGGGCTTTACATTTTGATAAGTGGGGAGACAGATCATACAAATAATAAATATACAGTGTCAGATGCTAATAAGGCCATTGAAATAAGTAAATTGGCGGACACAATGTGTGTGTGTGTGTGTGTGTGTGTGTGTGTGTGTGTGTTGTTTCAGGTCTAATGATCAGGGAAGCACTCTGATGAAGCGATTTTGAGCAGAGGCCTGAGCTAGGCAAGAAGCAGGTCATGTGTGTCTCTATGTTCCAAGTAGAGAAAACAGAGCCAAGGCCCTAAGGCAGGGGACTGCTTGGCATATTCAAGGAATAGGAAGTGGAATTGGGTGGCAGGAAGAGAATGAGCAAAGGAAGAAGTGGGTGCAAGGTGGTTTGTCTGGGACAAAATCAGGCCACATAAAAGCATAGGCTGTATCCAGGGAAGGAAAATCTATCAGAGTATTTTGATTTGAAGGATTCTCATGATCTGACATAACTTTCAAAGACATTTCTCCCTCCTCTGTGTGGAAAATAGACAGCTGGAGAACAAGAGTAGAAGCAACAAGGGCTGGCAAGTTAGCTCAGTGGCACAGTGCCTGCCTGGCAGTGCAAGGTCCTGAGTTGGATTCCCAGTACCCAAAAAAAAAAAAAAAAAAAAAAGCAAGATCAACAACGAGGCCATTGCAATAGGTAGGTAAGAGACCATCATGCTTTGGATTTGCGTGATGACAATGTGGATTGTGGGAGAACCAGATTCTGGAAGACTGTGTGTAAATTGGGAGATAGAAGAGGAAGCATTTATAGATATGATGAGCAAAAAAGAGAAATCAGGAATAATTGAGCCCAGATATTTACTGATCATCTGCTCTGTACCAGGCACTATTGTACATGCTAGAGATAAAAGAACAAACACACACACATGCATGCTTGTCTGTCCTTGTCAAACTTAAAATTCTTCTGAGGGGAGAAAGAACTTATCAATGAATGTGAATTTTACATAGGATATTGGAGAGTTAATGCACTGTGCAGAAAAAAATAAAAATAAAACAGAAGAGCCTCTGGTCAGATAGAGATAGGGGCAATAAAGCATTCAGTGAGGGTCTTCCTGCAAAGGTGATATTTGAATGCAAATGTGAAGTAGGTGAGGGAAGAGTAGGAGAGAAATGTTAAGAGGTAAAAGGAGCATGGAGTACAAAGGGTCTGAGGATGAATTGGTTGAGGAGATGGCAGTGGGTCCAGAAGGACCACATCACCTGGGGCTTTGTAAGTCATTATTAGGACTTTGGTTTTTTCTCTGAATGAAATGGGGCTTTGAGCAGAGGAGTGAGACGACTGACTTGAGTTTTTAACGTGATCTCTGCAGCAGCTATATGAGGACAAGGGGGAAGGAAGGGGATTAATAAAGAGTCTACTGCAATAAAACTACCAGACATTGTGATGATGTTGACCAGGATGATTTTGGTGGTGGCTAGAAATGATTTTTTTTTTGTTGCATTTCAGTGTTAGAGAAAATGTAATGTATTAAATGGATTGGATGCTAATTATCGGAAGGGAAATTAGTGAGAGAAGCCAATGACTTCTCCAAAATGTGGGATGTTATCAAGTGGAAGGTTGAACTGAGCTAACATTGAACAACAGACAGTGGAGAAACAGATTTTATTAGAAGATTGTTTGATATTGAATATGTTAACTTTACCTATGAGACATCTACAAGGAGATGTTGACTATATAAGCCTGGAGATCAGGGGACAGTTCCAGGATATACATGTAAATTTGTAAGTTATTGCATGTGCATGGTATTTAAAGCCACAACACTGGGTGAGGTTACCAAGAGAAGAAGTGTAATGGAAAAGCTTCAGGCAGTCTATAATGGAGTTATCAGGAATATGAGGAAAAACTATCCAGGGAGACTGAGAAGGAGCCTGCAGGAGGTAGTAGAAAAATCAAGAGGGCAGTGCCTTGGAAAGCAAAAAATATCTCAGGGACCAGCTATTTACAATAAAAGCTAGATGAACACTGAGAATTAACCCTTGAACTTAGAATGTATAGTCATTTTTGCTGTTTGGAAAAAGCAGATTCAGTGCAGTAGAAAAGGTGAAAAATGGAGAGAGAATGTAGGAATTGGAAACAGCAGAGGTAATTCTCTCAAGGTGTTTTCCCCCAAAGAGCTGAGAAATGGGTATCAAGGGAACATTTCTAACATGGGAGAAATAGCAACATTTTTATACTGGTATAAAGTATCCCATTGAGAGAAGTAATTAGTCACACTAAGGACAGAGAGAGAGAAAGAGAGAGATAAAAATTGTTAAAGCATGAATGATATGTGTGACAGGTGGAATAGGCAGGCCTCCAAATATGGCCACATTCTGATTCCTGGAACCTTATGATATGCAGCATTACACAGAGAAAGGGAATTTGTGTATATAATGGAAACTTATGATCTTAAAGTAGGAATAATTTCTCCTGGATTAGCTTGATGTGCCTGCTCTAATCACATGAACCCTTAAGAGCTGAGAATTACATTTTGGATGGAAACAGAAGAGAGATACAATAGGAGAAATCAGAGAGATTCCAAATTTGAAAAGGATTCAGCTCCTTGCTATTGACTGTAAGATGTAGAGCCACGTGCAAACACCAGAGAGAAGTCTCTGGTATCTCAGGGTACCTCCCTCCCCACCTGACATGCAGCAAGGAAAGGAGTACTTCAGTCTTCTGACTGTAAGAAACTAGATTCCACCAATAGCCTAATGGAACTTGGGAATGGATTCTTTGTTCCCCAGAGCAGATGGACTCTTTGCTCCCTAGATTCTTTTTTCCTCCAGAAAAAACACAGCCCTTCATTTTGGCCTTGTAGGACTCTAAGCAGAGTTCCTAGCCAACCCCATGGAAAGAAACACACTCTCATAAATTTTGTGTTGTTTCACAGGGATATAAAACCAACACAGGGTCATTGGTTTTGGAAGGGAACGTGGATGGTTCATCCATAGACAAAAAGGGGAGGCAGAGTAATAATGAAGGTGCTGGCAAGAACGTTGCAATTGTGGTGCAAGATTGTGGATGTCCTTTGTGACATGTAATTTCTCAGTGAAATAGAAATTAAGAATACTGACTAAAAATACATAGGAGAGGTGGTGCAAGTGTTATGAAAGAAGATATAGTCATCCAGGAAAAAGGGTCAGAATTATCAGAAAACTACAATATGATGGCCAAGAACACTAGGCTTGGTGTACTTGAGCTCGATCCTCATGCACTAAAGTTACACTGGATAATATGTCATTAGAAATATCTATACGACATCCAACTAGAAATATCACTTATATATAATTCTAGAGAGTCACGGATAGGTGACATAGTATTCAAAGCCATGAGAGAGCTTGGGATCACTACAGGCATAAGAAGAGATTCCAGGGCTGAACTTTGGGACCCTTCACAAGATAATGGAAGGCTGAGGCAGATCTAGAAAAGGAGGAGCAACCATAGAGAGAGATGAACAATTAAGATAATGATCTTTCAGAAGTCAGTGTTATGGAGGGCACTGCATCCTGTCTTCACCTAAATTCATACGTTGGAGTCTTTACTCCCAGTGAGACTGTATTTGGAAACAGGGCTTTTAAGGAGGTAAAGTCAAATGAGGTTAGAGCAGTGCATCACTAGTAGAACTGGTGCCTCTTTAAGAAGATACCAGGGGGCTGGGGATTTAGCTCAGCGGCAAAAGCGCCTGCCTGGCAAGCGCAAGGTTGTGAGTTCGATTCCTGGTATCAGAAGAAAAGACAAAAGACAAAAAAAAAAAAAGAAGATACCACAGGCCCCCATCTCTCCATGTGAGATCACAGGGACAAAGTCACAGCTCCAAGCTAGAAAGAAAGTCCTCACAAGACACCAACTCTGTTG